CGTCTGCAAAATTCGTGTTTTATCTTGAAAGTACAAGACAAGGAGAACAGAGGACGCAGAGAAACGTGAAGGCGACAGACGGTATGAATGAATTCCCGACGTAGATGAATAGATTGATATCCACGCTAAACCAAAACACATTATAATCGTCGAGTATTGTTTCAGTATTGTAGGAGTGTTGCATCAGTGCGGCACGCAAAATATTACCCTCCTTCTTCTGGCTACACCGCATCAACAAATGAATATCCACCCCAGCTTCCGCTACAATAGCCAAGGATATAATGAATATCTCATCTCGCTACCTCCACTACACCCGCACGGATAAATGATATTCCGATACCCCTACCTCCGCTAACAACCCACAGATAAATTGAAATATCTCACCCTACCTCCGCTACAACCCACACGATAAATAATATCTACCCCTACCTCTGGCCTTACACATACCCAAGGATTAAATGAATTATCTCACCGCCTACCTCGGCTACAGGGCCTCAACAGATAAATGAATATCTTCGACCCTACCTCGCTACACCCCACAGAATAGATATGAATATCTCACCCTACTCTGCTCGACGCCCGACAGATAAATAGAATATCTCACCACCTCGCTACAACCCCACAGATAAATAAATATCTCACCCCTACCTCCGTACACCCAGCAGATTAAATGAATATCTCAGCCCCTACCCTCCGCTACAACCACCACGGCATAAATGAATAATCTCACCCTATCTCCGCTACACCCCACAGATAAATGAATATCTCACCCCTACCTTCCGCTACACCCACACGGATAAATGAATAACAGGAGGAAGATAAATATCTCACCCGCTACCTGCCGCTACAAACACCACACCCACGGATTAAATGAATATCGTCCCCCCTACCCCGCTACACCCCACGATAAATGATAACCACCCCGTCCTCCGCTACACACCACAACCCCTCACGGATAAATGAAACGCAACGCCTAAACCTCCGCTACCCCTACACAAGATAAATAAATATCTCACCCATCACCTCTGCACAACCCCACGGATAAATGAATATCTGCACGCCCTACCTCCGCTACACCCCCAGATAAATGAATATCTCACCCCTACCTCTCCGCTACACCAGCCCACGGATAAAGGGATATATGTATCTGCTCCCTATGATAAAGGACCATTTCCTCCACACTCAACCCCCCCAGCCCCATAAATAAGGAAAGCTTGTAAGAGCAAACATTATAATCGCTCTATCTACGTGACGCACGCCTCCCTGCCTCTCCCGCGATCAGGTAGATGCTGATAACCAACCCTGCTAGCTTCCCTAAAGAAAAAACTCAGCGAGCCAAACGCACCATCACGTAACGTATAAAACTAAGTAATAATAACAAGATCAAAATACAGAAAAAACCAAGTAATAATAACTAAGTAATAATAACCAAGTAATAATAACTAAGATCAACACCAGAAAACTAATAATAATAACCAAAGTAATAATAACTAAAAGTATAATAACAAGTAATACATACACTTTAACAACGCATTATTACTAATACATAACTCACTAAAACATAAATAAAGCCAAGTTAATATGTCGCCGTGTCTAGCTAATTCACACGTTGTCTACATCATCACACCTAACAACATCGCCACCAACATCGCCAACAACATCGCAAACCAACATCGCCAACAACATCGCCACCCACTCGCCAACAACATCGCCACGAACATCCGCCAACATACATCCGCACCACATTGCAACAACATCGCCAACCAACATCGCCAACAACATCGCCAACAACGATTCGCCGACAACATCGCCACCGCAACATCGCCCAACAACATCGCCCACCACAAACGATCGCACAACAAACATCGCCCACAACATCGCCAACAACATCGCCGACAAACATCGCCGACAAACATCGCCACCAACGATCGGCCAACAAATCTGCCACCAACATTGCCACCAACATGCCAGCCCACAACATCTGCCAACTAACATCGCCAACAACCTCGCCACACTATCGCCACAACATCGCCACCGAACATCAGCCAACACAATCGTCCACAACATCGCCCACAGAACATCGCGCAACAACATCGCGACAACATCACCGAACAACATCGCCTCCAGACATCGCCTCCAACATCGCCTCCAACCATCGCCACCACATCGCCACCGCAACATTGCCAACACCACATCGGCCAACAACATGCCGACACTATCGCCGACAACATCGGCCACACATCGCCGCAACATCGCGACACATCGCCGACTAACATCGCCAACAACATCGCCGACAATCGCCGACAACAATCGCCAACACCGTAATGTAGTGAATGCTGCCGTCAGAGGGCGCGCCGGCGTTACGGTCCCTGCTAACATAAAAAATGTCTAATTGAAATATAATTTGAGTAACGCGTGAAAACACAAGTGATAGTGTTAATTGGCGCATTATTTGATATATTTTATATGCCCTCTGAATAAACTCGTTAATAAAAGGGACTGTTATGTCGGGTGTTCTGTGGGAATGGAGAAAAACGTCGATATTTTCTCGGATGTTGGATGAATTTATTCCTAATTAAATAACATCAACGTAATGTACGTAATTTGCCATAATCCCTTCGCCGATTAGGTTACATTAATTATGATGTTGTTACGCGTCTGCGTGCCTCGTGTATGATTTACGCGTGTGTGAATGCTTCTGCTTTGGCGTGCGTACTGCGTGCGTGAGTGCGTTTGCATAACGTGTGCGTGCGTGCGTGCGTGCGTGCGTGCGTGCGTGCGTGCGTGTGTGCTGCGTGTGTGCTTGTATACGTAATGTGCGTAGGTACATGTAGCGTGTCGTGCGTCGTCGTGTGGTGCGTGTGGTGATGTCCCTTAGCTTCCTCATGCGAATAATCATTTACGGTCAACGACTATCCTGATACTCTTCGAGTCCGCGCATCTAGACTATCTCGACAGTCGCCTACAACGCCCCCCTCTCACCGTGCATAGAAGCTTACCTAAACGCACGCGTGAGCCATCTACACCGCTCTAACAGCTTACTAACGAATGTCCGTCGGGATCAGCGTTTTCAACGTTCATCACTAAAACGCATTCTGTTGCCACGCACGCCTAAGACGCTAGTGCCCGCTCCAACACGAGACGCAATGGTTGACCAGGAGCGCACTTAAGTCATAGACGTCTCTGAACAACACAATCCGATATACGTATTTGAATAGCCATCTGACCCCCCCCCCCCCATAGCCAGGAAACCGGTAACGTTGTGCAGGGCGGGAGTGAACAAATCTCTATGCTATTTTACTGATAATTATAATGGTTTTAAAAATGTAAGTTTATAAAATTTGAAATTTTTGAATCAGGACTTAGTGGATTAGGCTTGTGATTAGACTTTTAGACTCTAGGCTTGTCAATAGCTATCATCGTCGTTTTTTCTATAGATGGTCTGTAGTAGCTATAGTCCAGTGGCAGAAATAGCGAACCAAGAAAATTTTAATAGTTCAAGGTTTTTTATTGATATTGTATCATATCCATGTGTGACGATTTTAAGCTTTGTTTGGCAGCACACGCCAACTTTGGGGAACATTTTTAATTAGCCTAATTCATAATTAACATGGCCAAATACAACTTTTAATAATAGGCTTAGAATCATGTGTGATAGCTTTTTGCTATATAGGGTTGACCCCAGTGAATGCCATTTCTGTATGTTACTTCGGCGTTTAAAGGTCAAGGATCAACCTATAAAGTCAAGGCAAAGGTCACTTTGGCTAAATACCCCAATTTCACTTACAACGATAACTGACTGAAAATATGTGTTGCCTTGTGAAGGTGTATTGAGTCCCCGTATTGAATTGTTTGATGATAGTAATGATATTATTATTGTTGATAAATTAATAATTAATGCCTAGACCACTATGGGTCAAGTACAATATGGTCAAAATACAACTTTTAACTAATGGACCTAGAACATGTGTGAATAAACACTTTCTACACACTTTGACTCACAGGATCCATTCTGATGTTATCTTCGGCAGTAAAGGTCACGTTTAACCTATAAAGGCTCCAGGTCCACGATCACCTTTGGTTCAAAATTGAGAAAATTCGCGCTGAATTCGTAAAGCACATATGCCCACCATTATCGGAACTGTCCCACATAATTAATGTGGAGATGATGGTAATGTTGCAGAAGTAAGTTATTATTATTATTTTTGAAAATCTAATAATGTATGGGCTATATGGATCACGGTTTGCATAGAGGTCAAAGGTAAAATCAACTCAAATTATCAAGATTTATAACTTCAACAATTAATTATTGTTTATTTATTCATTTTAAACACATATTTCAGTAAAATATACTCGCACCCTATACTTTTACTGCTTTATAAAACATGACAGTCAGTAAAGCAACCAACCATCTTGCTGAACAAATTAGCAAAATTAAATATATAGGACGACAATGACTAATAGTATAATTTAAAACATGCAAGAAACATGACTATTGGCACAATAAATTTGTATTGCGTGATTGAACACCAGATGTTCTGTTCTGAAAATGCAACCCCCCGCTCATCGTCTTCTGCTCCTCACGCTGATCTTATAATCACACTCAATCTCGTCATCCTTATCACCACCTCGTTCTTCTGGTGAATGTGTTGGCAGCACGCCCATCACCGACTGTGCAGGCATAGTTTGTGCATCCTGAGTTTTCACGGTACAGCTACATTTTAGCTTCTTTGCATGCCCCCCCATTCGCCGACAGCATCAGCAGTCACAATTCATCAGAGAGCGGTGGTCCGCAGTGTGCCACTATCAATGCAAGACAAGGATCCCACTCATAGGGCTTCTGAATGGAGAACCATCTGAGGACCTAATGTTCGGCAGCCTCCAAAAGTCGGCACGACGCACATGGTGTAGAGATTTCGCCTTTTGGCCGGCAGTGATCATGATGCGCAGCTGGTTTTCCCACGTGTACGGGTGTATAGATTGTAGCGAGCCTATGAGTCATGGAGGTGTCGCAGGTGTCCATACAATGCGCAAAGAATTGCTGGCCCAACTGCGTCATCAGGTCCGCATCAGTGGCAACCCTCTTTACGTCAACACGCTCAACAACCACTGCTCATCCTTCTCCTGGGCACGAATGCAGCTTCTGAAGTATGAATAACTTCTTAAACTGGCCCGCTAGTTCACATGAGGGAAGAGCAGGTGGGTGCCGCCTGTTTCTCGTCAGTGTCGTCAATAAGAGCCAATCCGGGCATCAAACGGCTTCAGGAGTCAGGGTAAGCTGCAGCTTTTCAAGGTACGGGTATTATCAGTGTTGATATGCCTTGGCCCGCGCCCAATCCCTCATTAGATACCATACATGGATGAAGATTGGCTGGAATTCGGTGGCCATGGCGGTGTGTGCCTTTGTCGTCCATGGGGGGGTAGATGTGTAGGTCGAGGTCTGATCCATCCATCCAAATATGACAATGCAGATATGACCCCCCCCCCTTTTTCCAGCCCCATAGCTGAGTACGCGCCACCTGGTCCGCCCCAATGCTGCAACGCTTTTACGGACAAACGCAGATGATGTTACATAGGCTTGATGGGCGACAAGATTCTTTTACAATTCTGAGCTTTCCGTGCATGTGATGGAGTCCTTGACAGCTAGAACCCAAAGTGGTCTGGTTGTGGCAGCGCAGTGATCGTGACTTTTGATGACTGCGGGCCAGGCTGGAGGGACTGCTTACATTACCTCATTATTTACACAAGTGCTGATCACGAGAGCGCAGTAGAGTAATGGCTGGTCTGGCTAATGGTGTTGCCTATAGTAAAGTCACCAACGATCGTAGAAGAGGTTGTTCGATGTTCGTTACTTCCCGTGCCTCTTTCTGCACCTGGGGGATGACCATGATGCTTACTTCTGTGATTAAGAATAGGCTATTGACAGAATAAATTGGCACACGATATCCCGTGACTTTCATCTTGTGGTTTATGATAACACTGCTATCACATTGTAACCTGAAAATGATCATTAATGGTGCATTTGGTTTACGGAAATTCAGCGAATTTCGTCAATTTTGAACCAAATTGCTCCTGACGTTTGACCGCTTGATAGTTAAACGAGTGACCTTTAATCTGCGAAATAACATCAGAAATGGATTCCTGGAGT